AACATTTTGTACAACACGGGCCTGCAGGGACTGTTCTGGAGCTAGCTTCAGCCGTGAAATGCTGTTCAAATGCTGTGAGAGTTGCCCTTGGTTATGGCAATGTTGAGCTTAGCTGGCTGGGTCGTGAAGTGCAACTGGAGTTGCCCGGTGGCCTGAATGCCATGAGCCACCCTGCGCTCCCCCTGCTCCGGCGGTGGATCCATGCATGCCTCCAGCCCACCCCCGTTACAGCAAATCGGAATATCTGCTCCTCTCCAGGTTACACGGGACTGAGGGTGGGGATGGCAGTATTCAACTCTCAAACCAGTTGAAGGCTTGGAGGCCCCTGTTTGTTATCCTTTATCATTGGGAAAGCAGCTCCAAGCTTAGGAGTGAAATGTGCTGTGTGCCAGCCTGCGTCTCGTCCTAACACTGATGATAATGGTCAAGCAGTTGCATTTGGTGGCAGGAGATGGGCCGAGCTCTCACCGGTTAAACTTGCTTCTCAGACAAACTGCATTTATGCTTAGGGCCCTAAATAGGTTGCACATACAGAGTGAAACCCAGAGGTACTGGTGGGCTGAGCCAACGCTGCCAGAAATCAGCCTCTTTCTCCAGCTCCTGGTGATGAAAACTTTGCCCCCCTACTTGCCTCCTCGCGTGCCTTGTTGCACAGCTCAAAATGACTGCTCAGTACGCCTCTTCTCTCGAAAGGCGGGCTGTGGCTTTCAAAAATGTGAGGTTTGGAGGAGCTGTTAATTATGGGATAGGCTGTTGCTTTTTAGATAGTGTCCCTGGTTAACAAGAATAGTTCTGCTGGAAATGGATAAGATTCTTAGGAGGGTTTGTGCTTTATCTGTCATGCAGAGGGTGCTGCCGAAGTTTATCTCTGCGCAGCTATCCTTGGCATAATTATTCATTACTGAACCATTGCTACGAGGTGGGGCTGGTTTTATGTTTTTTTAGAACATTTTTTCCCCTTAATGTTATGTTTTTCCCCAAGAGGGATTTCTCCTTCCCCCTCTTAAAAAACAAATAGGATTATCATTATAGACTTCCTTTCAAAATCCAAAGTAGTTTTTCAAATGCAAATTTTTCAGACCATCTTTTTTTAAAAAGTCTGATCTAAAATATGCAGTTTTAATAAGGCTTAAATTCTCTTTGGTCATAGGAATTTATTACCTGAGCGAAGACCCAAAGCAAAGCTGTGGCTTTCCCATAGAATAAGCAGGGGTTTGCGTGTAGGCAATTCAGTTTTGCTTCTTGGTTTCAGCCGGACTGATCTGTTCCAAAGCCGTGTGCATCATCAGGATGGTTTTGAGTGAGCAATGCTTTTAGCTGACATCTACAAGAGATGAAGAAGAAAGAGGGAGAGAATGAAGTTCAGCATCCATTGGAGAGGCATAAAATGTCCTCATAGATGACATTCCTGGTGACTAGGACTGTATGATCATACGGCCTGTGTATTTCAAATTCTGCTGGGAGAGCTTTGCAGCTTAGAGGTAGTGGTGGCAGCGGCTCACTCTTACTTACCCATTGAATCGCTTTGTGCGCTTAATGTTACTTATTTGCTTATCTGGTGCTGATGAAATTTCATCAGCCCTGTTGTAACGGGTTTAAATCTCAGCCCTGGCGGGCCTTGGAGGGAAGGCTGTAGGAAATGCTTCACGAGCTGCAAGGGAGGGGCAGCGCTGGTGAGAAAGGCATCTGTTGAGTGGGCATTTCTTCAGCTAAATGCAAGATGCTGTGGGAACCACGTGGGAGCTAAATCCCCCTCCCTGCCCCTTGGCTCGTGCCAGTTCGAGGAGTTTTTGTTCTTCTCCACCACTGACTGCTGCACGTGGTGGCTCAGGCGCAGAGTGACTCTGCTCCTCTGCCTGCCGTGCTGCAGACACGGCGGGAGGACATTGTGCTTCATCTGCTGGGAGATGCTTCTGCTCTCCATAGCAAACCAGGCATCAGCTCCCAAAACCGCCGTGTCCAAGTGAGTGTGTGTCTGGGGCTTTGCATAAGCTACCGCCACGTTTCAGGTGCTCTCAGGGTCCTGTTGGGTGGGGTTTTTTGGTGGATCTTTATGGCTTTTGGTTGTGCTTTTTTCCTTGCAACAGAAAAGGCAGCTCTTGCTCTCTTGTTTCTGAAAAATTAATGGCTCCATCCTCCCGAGCCCACCTCCAGTCCTTTAGCTCTGAGACGGCTGAACCCTGCCATGCGTGGAGCTCAGTGAGAACAGGGGCTCTCTCTGCCCGGCTGCGAGCAGCACAGCATTAAAGGCCTTCTTGCAAAGCTCAGACAGATAGCGAGATCGTCAGCTTCTCTGAAAAACACCCGGCCGTTTCTTTGTGCTGAAAAGCCCCAGCACTGGCAGGTCAGCGGGACGCAGGGTGACAGTCAGCCCTGTGACCAGGCCGCTCCGCCAGCAGATCCACCGGCCTTTGCTGAATCATGGCTCGCTGTTGTTGTGCCAGGGTTGCGCAGATGCTAAATGCTCTATTCAGGGGAGAAGTGGAAGGTCTTCGGCTGTGTCGGGTGCTGTCCATGGAGCCAGCAGATGAGCCTCTGGCGGGGTGTGCAAGCTCACGAGCTGTCAAGCTAGGAGTCCTCTCTGGATGGTGTCCCAGGAAGTTCTTGTCCAGAGGCAAAAAAGGACTAAGTGTATCTTTCCAGGGAGATTGGGGGAGACACTGATTGCTCTTCTACAAAAAACAGGTGGGAGGAAGAGAGAAGAGGAGGCAGAACAAGGAAACAGTAAGCCTCATTTAAATCCAGCACAGCAGATTTGTGAGGGGTTTGCCTCTGGGTCTGCAGTTGGGAAGCAAAGATGTTAATATCTGTAGATGTTCAGTGAACTGAGCTGGGCTGGGAGGGCCACCAGTTGTGAGTGGGGTAGGAACTGCTGCTCCCATCCACCTTTTCCTACCAACAGACAGGGCAATGCGTGCGGAAAACTGTACCCAGTGCCGTGTGTGTGTTTGGGGCAGAGAGGTCACTCTTCTTACATGCACAAGCCCAAACACACACATGCATGAGCAGCACATTTGTGTGTCATTTTACACTTGTGTTCGTGCCCAAATTGCTTTTGTGCCCTGTACACTAGGTTAGCATTATATTTTAGTATTTCAGCTCAAAGTAGACCTGCAAATAATATCAAGTGGCCAGATGAGACCAGGATATAATCAGTATGATCCTTTGAGCTCCGGGAGAGGGCAGCCATATGTCCAAATAATGAGGGCCCACCATTTTTGGTGGGCAACCTCCCCCAAAAACTGGGGCAAAAATTAGGTACTTAATTCTTTCCTATTTTACACGTCCATTTTTATGAGTGATTTCCTTTCAGGGCAAGTTCTCAAATTTACTTGGTACAGTTCTGTCAGCTTTGTAGCTGTCTAAGGCAGAAATTAAATTGCATAGTCATCTTGCTAAGGCTTAAAAAAAGCTAGGTGAGAGATCTGGTTACTAGCATTGGAGTTTCTCTTGCGTAGTTCCATATATCCAGTTAATTTATTGCCAGCAAACAAAACCACATGAGTTTGCTTCCTTGCTGCTGATAACCTGAGCTTCATTGCTGGATTCTTTCGCTCCTGACGGTCATGGCAAATGTGTGATTACACTAATAGCTGGTTATTAATCACTGCCAATGGCTGTAATTATATCAGCTATTAGGAAGTCAACTAAAAGCAATGTCTGTCCAACCAGCATGGAGAATAAGAAGAAACACGGTCCCCACTTCACAGAAGCGGATAATGTTTGTTGGCAACTTCATTTCCTTTTGCAGATAGATGCACGTTAGAAAAGTAACTCCACATTTTAGCACTTTTCTACCTCCACTCCAGTGTCCAGACCTGTTTACTGTGCTTTGCTTTACATCGTGGTGTTGGCTTTCTGAACACTGCAAGAAGGGGTTAAACAGCCGTTGTGCTGTCCTCTGAGACCCACAACCAAACCAGACTGTCTTCTCTGAGAGTCCCTGATCCAAATCCATTTCTGGAGAGTCCTGGTTTACCCCTGTATGTCACTTGGATTGCTTTTAAAATGATCGGTGTATTACAGCTGTGTATCCCTGCTGGGTGTACCCACAGGCATCCCTCCCTGCAGCAGCGTCACACCTTGCCAGCAGATACTTCTGTTGAGACACTGATTAAATTGTCAAATGCAGAGTTTGGAGCGTGCAGCAGAAGTATGTTTCCACTAAACGTGCTGCTCCCAGTGATCACCTGTGACAGAATGGTGGCTGAGCAGTGTCCTGTTTGCACCAGGATGGTCATTTTGCTTGGAACGTCTTAAATACCTGTGGAATTTTGATGTTGCAGCTGGGCAGAAATTGCCTATATCCTTATTGTGAAGGATGTGGATGCAGTGACTGGCACATGCTTTTGCTCATACAGGAATAATTAGAACTTCCCTTTCTTCACAAGGAACATTTGCTCCTTTATATGTCTTTTATGCAAAATCCGTGCTTTCCTTTTGGCTCATGCCCCTAGGTGATTTTTTTTTTGTCTTGAGTGTGGATTGCTGTGACTTCTTGTGCTGGGAGCTTGGTGCAGCTCTGCCAAAGAGTGGTGTGTCTGGGGCAGCACTTTTAGATTCCAGTTTGGCATGCTAGCGCTCCCTTCCCACTGTCTTCCGCTTGATGACTGCAGACAAAACATGCTCCTGGTGGATTTGGAGGCACTAGTGTTAGATGCTCGGGGGAATATTTCAGCACTAGTTTGAAACCTAATAGGTAACGTGTATCTTGAGCTGTGACCTTCCCTGAGCACAATGGTGTGATTTCAGGGCTCATCAGGAAAAGGGAACAGAGTAGCTATCTTCTTACAGTGGCTGAAAAGGTGGCTGGCTGTTGGTGGCTGATTGGTTGGAATAGGATGTTTAATCCTCCTGGAAATTGGCCGACAAACCAAAATTATCTCATGGACCAGGAGATGGGAGCGCACAAACTGGGCTCCAGATGAAGGTGTGTTGTGTCAGTTTTTCCCTGATAGATGTTTGTTTTTACTCTCCTCTTCAGGCAACTTTTCTGTGAGATGGCGGAGCAGCGTCAGGACGTCACCATGATGGAGGATCATGCAGCTGGACAGGAGAAGCACATCCCGTCAGGTGAGCTGGTCCAGGAGGAGATGGTGTAAAGGACCTGCCTTGCCTACTGCTGAGAGAATGACCTAAATGGGGCCAGCGGGGCAAGCGTGGCAGTGCGAGGGGTCCTTGGGGATGGCCAGGAGGAGATGGTATGTGTGTCTGGAAGGTTATGGTGGATCAGCTGGCTGCAGCCAGTGGACAGTGGGTAGCCCACAAGATTCTCTGATGTTCATAGTCATAGGAAAACGCTGCTCTTTGATATCATTGCCCAGCAAGAGCAGAACAATCCCCAGCATCCAGACTAGTGATGATCTTATTGCTGCTTCTTTGCAAATGTATGTTTCTGTGTTCACTCCTCAGTTTGCTATAAAAATACAGCACTGCTTTTATTTGGAGACACAGCTCAAGGATGCTGCTTGCTGCCTGCTTTTCTCACCTGCACAGGGAGATGGGGAGAACTGAACAGAGAGCTCTGGGAGCGGGGGCCATGCAAGAGTCTTTCGCCCCATATTTCAGACCTGCATTTCTTAAGAAGCTTTTCCTTTCTCATTCCACCATGCTCCACAATTGAGCTTGGAAACCCACGTAACGCCAGCAAATCTGGTGGGACTCACTCCTGGCTATGCTCCATATATACATCGTCTTAATTTTCTTTTCTTGAGGTGCTTTGGACACAGCTTACACCAAATAAATGGATCGCCTCCGTCCTGGAGAGAATCCATAGCATCCATTCATCCCGGGTTCTGTAATGCATTGCAGTCTGATAGCTGCTCTCAGCTTGTAGCTTCAGCTTCACACATCACAGGTTCCCAGGGATTTTGCTTATGTTAGTTTGAAACTTCTTTTCCAAGTTATTTTCTCCAGTTCTCATTATTTTATTTGCCCAGACTCCTTGCAGAGAGGAGACTTATGCCTCTTGCCCTACTCTTCCAAAAGATGACTTTGCAACCAAGTCTTCGTGCAGTACGTTATGTGCTACACCAAGCCCTTTATAAAGACTTGCTGGTTTGCAACGATTAGAATTAACTCATCATGGAAGTGTCCAGCAGGGACGGAGTCTAGTGGCTCCAGAACTGGCAGAGAGGACAACAGTGACTCAGAAGTTGTACATCTTTTCTGCTTATGTTGCTAAGATCTCCTTTCCTGCTTGTGCCATGCTTTGCTGTTTCTAGCTGTCCGGTTCACTGGGCTTTTCTTTTGCTGATGGGTTTCTGCTTGCTCCTTTTGGTGATGACACTGGTGCTTTTGGTTGGCATTTTCACGCTTTGCTTGCTTATTAGTTCAGGTGTTTTATACTCTCCAATAACAGTTTCTTGCTGCTGTGGATCTGGGCAATCAGAGTTTGTAACTCACAGGCCGTAATTCATAGCCAAGGACTTGTTCTAAGTATTTGAATGTTTTCCAGGCTATCCCCTTCAGATACCAGTCGATGATGGATCGGATGAGCCTGTTTCTGAAACATCTGACGCTAAGAGCACCCCAACTACGGAAGGTGGGAGCTCTTTGACTTACTGCTTTGAAACCATGATGGATGGGGTCGTGGTAAACCTTGCCAAAAAACTCGCCGTGCCATGTTCTGGTGGGGTTTCTCAGGAGGAGTGTCTGCACTCTTGGACAAATGCTTTTCATTAGTCTCATCACAAGCGATGTTTGCCACTCTGCAGAATGAGATAATGAGCTTTAAAGGTGGAGAGTGGGTTGGAAGGCAAGAGAAGGTGAAGTGTTTTTTGTAGTTCAGGAAGTTGCTTGCGGTTTGTTTCCTGAAGACTTTTTACACCGTGGCTGCGAGCTCCCGTTAGCGCAGCTGGGAGCAATCCCATGTTGTGTGCTCCCAGGGCCAGAGGTTTGCATCATTGTGCTCCCCCAAAATACTCAGAGCACATCCTGGTCGCTGTGTTCCCTTTCAGAGTCAGCTGTATCTCATAACTCTTTTTTTGCCCCCTCTGTATTTATATGTTCATTAGTATGGCACGATTCATGCTGGAATGATGGGGTGGGCAGAGTCTATACATAAAACAAAACTTTGTGCTGATGTAAAGGTCACATTGGTAGGACTCGGGGCCTGTCTGTGCTGCTCCAGACTGTTATCTGAATGACTTGTTCACCTTTTTATTTAACTGCACTTTTTGTGTTCTTCTGGCTGCTTTAATCACAAATATCTGCCTCTTGGAGACTTTGGGTAAAGTTTGCAGAATTTATCTAGAAGAAAGGTAGACAGAGATGCTGACCAGTTCCAGCCCTGTTGCGCTGGAGGTGTGGGCCGACTGATCTTTTGTGAAGTGGCTCTCTTCCTGTGTGTGTGGCTCCAGAAATCAGTTTGTAAGACCTGGCTGGTGCAGAAGAGGATGTTGTCCCTCTTTCCAGTTGGATTGGGACTGTCATGACAAGCAGATGTCCCTCTGGTAGAGGGAGCCAGGTATCTGTCTCAGAGCTGCCCAGAGTGCGACACGCAGTTGCAGTGCTCAGATGGTTTATGAAAGTATCCGATGGGAGCTGTTCTTTCCTGCTCCAGATCAGTGAAGTCCCCATGCAGACGGCATTGCCGTGCATGCGGGTCAGGCACCAGTGGCTGCCTTCAGCTGTGCATTTTCAGACAGTGTTTATGGTAAAGCCTCCAGCTGCGTAAGGAGTACGCTGGAGATGTGTGGTTTGTGTGGCAGAGGGGACAGCTCATAGCTGTCTCTGCGATACTGGCTTTACTGTGTCATGCTCAGTTGTCTCCCTCCACAAGCACTGGCTCAAGGGAGGGAGTCGAGTGCTTTTCTGAGCGAAACGTTCTTCAGGCATGTCCTGGCCTCCACAGGGTTTTGCCACTTGATGGCTATGTGAAAGCTGCGTTGTTTTTCAGATGCCACAGCACCTTTAGTGGAGGAAGGAGACCACGAGGATCAGGGTGGTGTCGAACAGCACGGGGAGATCCCAGAAGGAACCACAGGTGAGGGAGACCAAGGTGCAGTTTCATCTCTTGATGCAGACAGAGCAGAGACTGGTTAGTGCTTTAAAATAACAGCGTAAAACCTCTCGCAGGCCTGCTTTGCTCCTGATGCGTGCTTCTTTCTTCTCCATGGCCTGTAGAAATAATTCCTAGCTTACAATTGTCCTCTTGCCTTCCCCATCCTGGGGGAAACTCGCAGCCTTTTCTTCTCTCTTTCTCAGCTCCCCATCTGACAATCTTTCTATCTGTTGTCTCTGTGGTGGCTTCGCCTCCCATCTCCAGGCTAAGCGCTTACCTGCTGATCCCGGTCATCTCTGCCCCTCTGCCAGCAGCCTTGCTTTGCTGGTGAGGAGAGGCGGTCACCGCAGGACCTTGCTGCTTGTCTTACTGGAGCTCTCGCTCAGCCCGGGCAATGCGGTTGTCTTTGAAGTGGCAGGTGAAAACCAGGCCACTGCAGCAGTTCTTTGGCTGCCGGCGTGTTTTAAGGATAATGCAGAGGAAGTGAAGTGGCTAATTCAGCCCGAATGCTCTGTGGGGAATCACTGCACCTGGACTTGGTTTTCTGGTGAGGGGTGGGGGTCTTTCAGAGGCCGAGGAAAAAAAGGAGTGAGCTGCAGCAGTGCTGTGTGTGTACAAGAGGGCAGGAGCTCCTGGGAGAGTCAGGTCTGTATGTGAAAAATGAGTGTGTGGCCCCTGTGCAGTACTCGCTGGCTTTTCCTGGAAGCGTCAGGCAGAACCTGAGAAAGGTAGTGGGTGGAAATGGGCTTGTGCCAATGCCTGAACACCAAAACAAGCTCACAGCCCACTCCCTCGGGCAGCCAAATTGTCTGTCCTGCATCCAGTTCCCAGGCTGCTGCTGGAGCCCTGGGCTGAAACAGAGAGTGGCTCACCCGCTAGCAAGGATGTGCAGTCTCTGGTTGAAGATCTGACTGTACCAGGGAGCCAGGAAGAAGCAGTGTGTCCTGAACTCTTTGGAAAAAAAAATAATGGGGAAAACGGAGAAAGTCCTAGTTTAACTGTAGAACTGTGATATACAAATATAATTGATTAAGCCTGTTTGAAAGTAGTCATATAATAAATTCAAAAAATTTTCATAGAGGCAAACCATCACTGCTGTGAAGAAAATTATGCTTTTCTAATATCCCAGTATTCCTGAAGTGTCAGATTTATATCAGACTCGGATTTACTGGTGTCACATAGCCTCGGCAGAGTTTGTTACAGTAAGCTAAGTAGTAGACTTCAAGACGGTAGGGCTCAGGTAAGAGACATTCATGTGAATGCTGCGGGCAATATAAACGCTAGGTGGGGGTAGAAGAGGGGATATAAATCCACAATTTTCCCTGCTCCTTCACAGCCTTTTTTCTGCACCTCTGCCTGAGGGAGCTTGTATTAACCTGCCACCCAGGATGTGTGAGTTGGTGAAACACTCCTCCAGTCCGGTACAGCACAAGCTGAATAAATCTAGCTAGATCCATCGTCGGCATGGGTTGATTTCCTTTCTGATACTGCCCTGCTCATAATACAGCGCTGATGGGCGGAGTCAGCAGGGAGGTAAATAAATTCTCCAGTCACACTCTTAAACTTAACTCTTGTTTTGATCATGTTTTTCCTGTTCTTTCTCTGAACTGGAACCAGCTGAAGAAGCGGGCGTAGGAGCCACCCCCAACCTGGAAGACCACGCTGCAGGAGATGTCCCTCAAGGTTAGTGAATCATCTGTTCCTGGGGTCCCGTTATTGCTGCCCACACGGGTGGCTGGTTGCTAGTGGGAATTTTCTTCTGTAATGCAAATTCTCTGCACTGTACGAGCAGTTGTGCAGTTCTCCCTCTTCCTAACAGGGGAGGGTCATACATGCTTTGAATGTTCCAACATGCTCATTTCAGGGAGCCGCAGCTTTTCATGCACCACATTTCTCTCTCAGATGCCTGAAGCCCTGATGCTTGTTTGTCCAGTTGCAAAACGGCATCCTCCAGGCTAGAAAAGGTAGTAAACAGAGCGGGGATGGTGCAGTTAGCCAGGAGGAACTGCTCAGCATTGAACAGAGTCAGTTTTGGGCCCTGCATGTCACACATGAAAGAAGTGAATTTTTTCTCTAATGCTGTGTCTCTTTCTAAATTGAAACATGTCTCAAACCTACTCACTGGTGCCCTGATTTTAAGGGTCTTTTTTTCTCATCCCAGTCTTAGGGAATGTGACTGACAAAGCCAGGCACGGTGGGCAGTGAGCGTTTATTGAGCATTAACTGTGTGATTGCTCAGATGAGCCAAGAAATTATCCAGCAATCGCCTGGCTATCTGGAAAGCCTCTCTTGACTCTGCTCAGTTCAGACTTGACTGAAAACTTCAGGATGGGATTTTTGCAAAGCACCTGGTGCTAGCTTAATTCTGGACCCAATGGGGCAGGCGTATGGGTTCAAACTCACTCTGAGATAGCTGACTTGCTAGTGCTAATACACTGTAGCGCTAATTTCGTGCTCTGTTTAAAATCTTAGTTAAACCCCCTTTTGTAACATAGTTTTCTGTGCAGCAGACGTAATAAAATCCTCCCGCTGCTTGGGCAGCATCTTTTCTCCTCGTGGCTACATTAGTGCATTTACAGACATCCACGTCTTTTAAAGAAGTAAATAGGTCTTTGCCTTCTCAGCTCAGGGCAAAATTCAGGTTGTCTTTGTTTTCCATGCACAGATCAACACAGTTATGTGCAGTCTGCTCCCTGTTAAAATAAAACCTTTCATTGACTGTCCAGTGGTTCTTGGACTAGCAAAATAGTAGCGCCACTACAAAAAAGAAATCAAGACTGTTAGCAGGAGGGGAGTGAAGTTCTCTTTTCTGTCTGCCCTGTTCAGTCTGCTTCTAGCTGCTGTTTCTCACCAGATTTTTAATAAGACCTTTCTGTACTGTCCTGGGATCTTTCAGCTGTCAGACATGGAGACATGCAGCTGGCTGGAGCTCTGATATAACCTATACATGACATTTCTAGTTTCTTATGTAAATTGTTACTTCTCTGAAAGTGGACTTGTAGTAATGCACTGCTTCCTTTTAATGGTTCTCTTTGATTCGGAGGAAAATGTGATTATCGGTGCACCCACAGAGTCTTGGATATCTTGTTGCTAGCTACCTTCATCTTTCATGTTGCGGGATTTGAAAAAATGATCTTTGCAGTGAAGATGGAGCGTGTTGAAATGCCTTTGGGGTCTCAGGTGGAGACGCATCTTCTGATTCACCATTGTCGCTCTGCTGGCACTGTGCTAGGTCTTGACCTCGCGTAGCGCTGACAGGTCTGGCAGTATGGGAGTACAGCTAATGAACTGACTGTCCACGTCTCTGCATAGGCGTCGTTAATGGTCATGTTGATCGTTTGCAGGAGAAATGAGCCAGGACGGTCTGCTGGCTACTGCATAAACACCCTTCATATCCTTGTGGTTATAAAGGTATTTCTTGGTGCCGCTTTTCAAATATTACCTGCCAACAGGTGCCAGTTTAGAATTTCTCTTAAACCACAGTTTCTGAGGTCTTTGTGTGGTCATTTCACTGAACCATTATGGTTAAAGGGGAGAACATTGATAAAAGACTGAGTCAGTCTTGACTTCTTTTCTTGTTTTGATCTTGTTTGTTAAACTAACAAAGCAACAATTGAAATCTCAGTACTGAAGTGCTCTGATCTAGGCTCTTCAGTTTACCCCATCAGTGCTCAAAAAGACTATAGAGTATTTGAAGCTGGACAAATTCGTAATATAAGATATACATTCTTTCTAGGGCGGCGGACTTGAAAGCAGTTTACCTATGTTCAGGGTGACTTCTCCATTGCTCAGTGCATCTTTGCTTCAGTTGAATGAATTTCTAACAGAAAAGCCCCAGCTCAACCAGAATATATGGCTTAATGCAGCAATTGTTGGGTGAAATTGTAAAGGTCTGTGTCATGCATGACATCAGCGGTAGAACATAATTCTCTCTTTTACCCCAAAAAAAGAAAAAGGGATCTGTGTCTCTGTGACCTTAAGTTTTGGGTTCTAAATGTCACATTTTCTACTCTACCCAAATGGTGACAGCAGTGCTGGAGCTCTAATTTGCCTGAGTGGGCGTACAGGCCAAAATTGCTGTGGCCCTGTGGCTATAGCCACATTTTACTAATAGTCCTTTCCACTGAGGCTGTCTGCTCCACTGGCTGTTGAAGTACACAGCAATAAGAGAGAAGAGACAGGAGTGCAGTCCCCCGAGCTTATTAGCAATAGAAATGTTCTGGAGAACAAAGCAGAGACGGTTTGAGCTCTGGGAGGATGTAACTGATGCCATGTCTGCATGAACATCTCCTGCAAGGGAGGAGAGGACTTGAGGGATTTTGTAAGCCCATGAAAGAGGGGAGGGTGTCTGACCTGTTTTGTTGAGGCCCTTGAGGCTAGAAGCGGTCACTGACCAGCAAACTGATGGTCCAGTGGTGGTGTTAGATTAGAAAGTGGGTGGGTTCTTGGCTTCTGAAAGCCTCTATAGCTAAACCAGCTCAGAGAGCATGGGTGTTGCAGATGTTGGCCTGTATGGCACAAGCCTGGGGTACCCCAGCCACCGCCGAGACCAGGTCCAGGGAGGAGTATGGTCTCCCACATGTTTTGGCTGTCACTGTTGGGATTCCCATGGGGATCAGAGTTTCTTTAAAGGCAAAAGCCACTGTAGAAGTGAGTTGTCTGTTCAATGGGGCAGTGTGGGACTTGCTTTTTTCCTCTAGATAGTAGAAATCCTTAGTGTTTCTTCAGCGTTACATGTCTGACTACTTATTTGACATGCCTCTGCTAATTGTTTGCCCACGCTTCGTACCCTGCGTCTTCAACTCCAGGGGAGCCAAGCTCTCCAAAGCCGCAGCCTGGCCCTCAGGAGCGTGTGGGAGATGCGATAAAAAGGGAAAGCCAGCCCACAAAGCAGGTAGCTGGGGTTCTCCAGCAGCCTCTTCTGTCGCATGAAACGAAGGCTACAACAGCAGCTCCCACCAGAATCGAGGTCACCATCCCAATACCCCTGGATATGTACCAAGACTCCAGAGCATCTGAAGGCAACAATGAGTTGTGGGATCATCGAGGCAGAGAAGGCATTGGTGTGGATCCAGCGCTGGGAACAGAGCTAGGTCGTGATATGCGCACTGAGGGGTTGTCGGGAGCAGGTGGCACAGATGACTCCCAGATTAAAGATGGGCCATCTCCTTTATGTACCAGAGCCCCATCAAAAGAAGATGCCAGTGGACGGGAAAGAGATGAGGACCGTGATATTGATGAAACTTCTGAACAGGGTTTACTTTCCGTGGTGGGACAGCATGCTTCACCAAGACCTGAAATGGGCTTGTGTCCTGCAACAGCCAAGGGAGCTCTTGAAGAATATGCCTTTGAAGAAAGCAAATCCAAAGATGTCCTTAGAGACATACCAAGAGAGGCACTTCTTGTTGAAACTGAATCATATAAAGCAGGAGGGGACCAAGAGGAAAGGAAGCAACCATTGAAGGGGGAAGAAGACACAGATGTCACCCCATCAGAGCCTTCTGAAATCATCTCCCAAAAAGAAGCTGAGCCTGGGGAGGGAGAAGATTCTGGACCCTTACTAGAAACACCTAAACTCCCTTTTGAGTTAAAAGATCATGTGGAAGACAAAGATGCTCCTTTGGAAGAGGCTGTGCCAGATACCGGAGAACGCCGGACACCCAAGAAGAAACCTTGTGCCCAGGTTGCAGATAAAGCCGTCAGTCGCGTCCCTCTCCTAAAAGGTGTGTGCAGCGTTTGCCTGCCCTGAGCTCACATTGCCGGTGGCTTGCTCACGACAAGGCTGCCTGAACAAATACTTCAGCTTGCTGCCACCTCTTGAATCCTGCTGCTTGGGAAATGGCCTGGACCTTTGCTGTGAACTGATCTACAAAACGCCGCTGCTTCTTCCTCCCCCTCCTTCCCTCTTTAGTTTAATCCTGGATGTTCTGGCATACTTGCCAGACCCGTATGCTTCGGTTTTGCGTCCCTTGCATGGTGCTGGCGTGTCCCCGATCATGCTTTGTTGACCTGTTTTTGTTTTGATTTCCTTGGATCTGTGGGGTGGGCACCTTAACTCACACCTGGCACCTTCCCAGAGAAGATGAAGACTGGATGGACGTTGTTCTGGCATGTTGGAGTGGGGCTAACCCAGCGCACACTGCAGCTTGTTCCAGCAAGACACGTGCCATCTGGTTTGCATGTGTCCACTGTCCAGTCCAATAACTCTTTGTATTGGCTTTCCTAAAGAGGAGGGAGGAGGAAAAAGGCAAGTGAGATGGCAGGTCTAACCATGGAAAAGGCCCCACATTGGTCCTGTTTCTTGTACGTTTCCCTTCAATAACCACTACTGACTGCTGTTGGAGGCAAGCTTTGTAGCTAGCTGGACCTTTGACCACGACAGGGCACATCCAAAGCTCTTACAAAGCATCCTTCTCCGATGCCCGTTCTGGACGGTGTGTCCCTGGGTGGTCCAACGCAATGGCTGTATTTTGGGTGTTTTGTGGGAGCTGCCTATGTGCGCGGAGGCCTGGCTCTTGGGCACATCTAACAGCGTGTGTGTCTCCAGGCTGGGCTGGGCTGGGAGGGCAGTCAGACCCTGGAGCTGCTGCGTTCATGCAGCAATCTCAGTCTTAGCTGTCTTGGGTGAAGGTCTGAGTTCACCGCTCAATGCACGAGCATCCCTGCCAGCAGAGCAGCTCTTAGACCTTTTCTTTCTCCAAGACCTATTTTCCACCTTTACTGGAGGTCGGAGGGATGTCACTAGGGGCACTGCTCAGTGGTCAAACGCAGGTGTTGCAGTGAGTTGTGTCAATAAGCTGGGGCAGCAGGACAGGCGTTAAAACCCGATGGTGTCTCACCATGTTGTACCTCAGCTTTGGCTGTCCGGGGCCTGGCCTGGGGGAAGCTCTGCCTTTCACCTTAGTGCCGCATCCCAAAAGCTGGCTTGGCTGCTTCCATTAGGCTGGAAATCCCGCTCACTGCCTCTCTGGTTTGCAGCAGAGAGAAGTGTGCTCTTTGCTGCGTGGGGTTCACGAAGAAATTGTTGATGTAGCTTTTTCTATTGGAGCTAAAGCTCATAACATATTTCTCGTTGTTCACTACCTAATAAGTCAGCGGGAAGCTTTGCACATGTGCTGCAGGGCATTGGCATGGCTTGCTATCGCTAGCATCGCATCGGAGCCGGAAGACAATAGCAGGTTGGGGATGCATTGCCTGGAGTCAACCAGTTTCTGACTAAATAGGAGGAATTTCTTTAATTATTTAATGGTCTTTTCCTTCAAAGACAGAGATAATTTGTGGCTGTTCAGCTCCAGCCTTGCTCCAGTCTGTAGTTCTTAAACTTTAATTTGGGAAGGTTAGTGCATCCAGCAGCTCTGGGAGTGGTTGCTGGGATGGGTCAGGGTCGTCAGTGCTGGATTAACAACATTGTTCATGTCACTGGGAAGGGGTTGACCGCCCAGGGCAAGTTTCCAAAACACTGGGGAGAATATCAGCAGCTTTTCCTCCTAGATTAGGGAGGAATTAGCTGAAGACTGGGAAAAGGGGCTTTGTTATGAGTGCCTTATAGTACAAACATTACTTCCTCTCTGTTTCTAATCTCCTAATTAGCAATACTGCAGTCTGTTGTGCTTGTAGACTAATGGGACAAAACACTGAAATATTGTCAGTCGCTCTGTGTTTGATACAAATCAAGTAGGGCAACAGCTAAGCCTTTAAGACCCTGCAGGGTCTGACCCAGATCAAAGGTGCACTGTCTGTGGCGGAGGCAGAAAGCAGTGTGGCAGGAGAGATGGGAAGCAACAACAGCCAGGTATAAAAACGCTTTGCAAAGTTAACGCACCGAACAACAACTTTAAAAGATCATGGGCAACCTGCTGCTGATAGGATTGGGGCATTCTTGAATTTTAATCTTTATATATATGTTTGGTAGAACCAATAGGTGTTTTAGAGAGGGAGGCTTATGTTTAGGGTTGAATAGAACTGTTCTGTCCTAAACTGAACAGACGCCACTGGAACTGAGTGCAAATCTGGGCAAAATAGTTTCATACAGACCTAGTTGCGTGTGTCTGATGCTCCAGTGATGACTAATGCACTGTTGCCCATGCACAGGGTAATCTGTTAAGCCAGAAAGAATGTGTTTACAATGTGGAAGTATTTCTGCAAGAAATGAGTGACTTTGTAATATTTCTAAGAATAGTATTTAATTTGAAGGAGATCAGGAACGTGGAACACCCACCCAGCATGCATGTTGCTGTATTGCAGGCACTATCATCTCTCCAGAGTTTACTGACCAGTTCCAAGAAGTGTAACTGTGTGTTTCCATTTGTCAGGTCGTATGGACAGCAAAGACAAGGAGGGGACTGAAGCTGAGGAAAAGAAGCTGAAGGTAAGCTAAAAAATAAAACCAGAGGTGACGTCAACCCACTAAGTGCTGTGCACGTTCCTGACTCCTTCTCCTGCTCTCCTGGACTGCAGCTGTGCCTCTTAGGAAACCTTGCCATTATCTTCCATTCTTCCATCTGTCTTTCAAGAGTGTTTTTATTTTTGTCTTTCCTCACCCCGGTTTGGATGGTGCAATCCATAGTGATCTTTGAGGGTGAGGAAGCAAACCAAATCTAACCCAAACATGTGGCTCATGGAGTTGGGTGGGTGGTTGAAATCATTTGCTCAGCCTGAGAGCAGAAAGGGGCCGGCTGGCTTTGCTGGGGCAAACCAGTGCGAAAGCAAATTCAGAACTGCATTGGGCTGTACTGGGGACAAACGCTGTAACAGTGGAAGACCAAGACGTGTAATTAGGAAGTTAAATTAAATAATCTAGGCTTTGCGGATGTTGTGCTCTGGGTAAGGAACAGAGTTTAATAGTGGGTAAATTCCAGAATTTTAAAGGTATATGTCACACTGCTGATTTTGAGGAGGTTTAGCTCAGCTGTCCATAACCCTGGCTAGTGCTTGGGCGAGATAATGGACAAGCTGATGGGCAATTTAGTGGGTGAAGAATTAAAGATGAGAAATACAATGTTTTCAAACAATGTGAAATTGGGACTTTCTCTAGGGAGGTTTGGGCGGGTTGTATCAGGCTCAGCATTTGACATGGTACCAAGCAATTATCTAGATAAAAACCAGTGATCCGTTATTGATAAATCAGATATGTGGTGGGTTTGGGGGACCTGGGAGCAGTCATCTCCATCTCCCAGAAATGCTGGTGTTGATAGTGCGGTATCTGCAGCATCTTTGCCAGTGGAGCACATGGAGAGTTCGGGAGTAAATAGAGCAGTTCAGATGGTAAAACGTGCCACTGGTGCGGAGGGTGGTGGCAAGGGCAGGCTGTCACGGGGTGACACATCCCCCAAAAAGGGGCTCAGGTGGTGCTACACTGTGTGGGATATCTGAGATATCCCATATCTGCCAGTGTAGTTGTGGGATCGCGGGCACTGCAGCTCTTGCCCAGCTCTGTGCTGCAGGGAGAGGGCAGTACCAGCCATCACCTGTACTGCACCCAGTTCTGTATTGCACCTTCTAATCCTATTTCATGTCAGAGATCCCCTTGTGTTTCCCTCCCATACTGATTTTTTTTTTGTTCCAATTTTATTTTGTTTCCATGTTTAAGAAATCCTCACCTTCCACTGCCAAACCCCCAGGCGATAGACCCTCCATCCCCCCCCAGCGACACACCTCCTCTAGCACAACCCCTTCGAAAACACCCTCCAGCCCTGCTTCCGCCTCTAAACGAGTCTCTTCTGTCACATCCCGACCTACCAGTACAGGAACGCAAGAAACGAAAGCTAAGGTAAGGAAATGGGATGTGAGAGAGGCAAAGCTGCCTTGGGGAATACCTTACAGCATTCCTGACAGGTCTGGCAGTGGTTGGCCGGGCAGTCTCTCCGTGTCCCATTCAGTGGAGAGGGTGGGATGTGCTTGCCCTTCACCTTCCAGAGGCTGTGGCCAGACTTGGCTCCAGTTTTGGTGTTTGAAGCAACTGGGTCCATCTCACCAGCACGTAGGCCCCTTGCTCCGCATTACAGCAAAAATATCTCATTGCTACCAAGTGCTACCTGGTCTCTCTGAGGCATTTCCAGGTCTCTTTATGCTCTTTGGTGCTCTTCTTTGTTTTGCAGCTTTATGCTGTGTTTTATGGATGCGTTGGCTGTAAACAGCAGATGTATTTGAAGTGTGCCAGAGCCAGATCTGCCAGGTGCTACACAGGGAATAGGAAATGCACACACATCCGTGGTTATTCTGCAATGTAAAAAGTAGCTTGGAGTTTTCCTTTGTGGTGTTTATTCATACAAATACACCCGTGGTGAGTGAAAGAGCAGAGATTGCGGGTTGCAGGCAACGGGATATGGTTTTACCACGATAGGGACTGCGATGGTTCTGCTCTGGTTCCCTGCTGTCTTGAGACCAGTCAGCTTGTAAATTGTCACTTGCATGTTTTTCGTGAGCTTTTGTACACAGACCAGTCATCAGAAAGAGGATGTGTTAGTTTATAGATTTGGGGAGGATTTTCTGCAGGATCAGAAGACAATAAATAGTGTATTGCTATTTACACGCCATTACAGATCGTGTGCGTGTTACAGCAGTGTGTTACAGGTGGGGATAAAGGAGGTGCTTCTTTGTGTTTGGAGTCTGGCACTGTACCCCTGAATGGTCTAGTCAATGGATTTACTTATCTTCCGTACAAAATTTTAGCAGGACAAGGGAAATAAGATGAAATTTGGAAAACAGACAAAGGAGTTGAACATACTTTTTAACCAGGCTCGAGCGTACGGTGAATAACGTAGCTGAAGCTAAGGACTCACATGGGAGAGCAGCGCAGCTGCTCTGCCAGCCCAGGAGTGACTGCAGCGGTTGTGGCGGGTGCCGTGATGGGAACTGGGGTGTGAACAGCCCTGTCACAGATGCCCACATGTGGGGGAAGCCGTGGGAGCTCCTGTGGGCTGTCAGGGTCGGAAGCAGGAGGGTCTTGTGTGGCTCTGATCCGTGAGGGGTGATATCCCATCACCAGGCAGATCCCCCCTGCATCAGCCTTTCCCCCTTGTGTCCCCAGGGCCCGGAGATGAGAGGTGGCACGAAGACGGCCACGCCGCGGTCTGGAGCCGGGCAGGCTCAGAGGAACTCGACCAATGCCACGCGCATCCCAGCAAAGACACCCACGGCCCCCAAGACACCTCCCAGCTCCGGTAGGTGATGGTGAGAGCGGCGTGCTGCTGCCTTCCCGTGCTATCTCTGGCTCTAGAGGCTCTGCTTTGGTGGTGCTCCCAGGTTCTCTGTGAAATTATTTGGGAGTAGTGAACAAATTTGCCCCAGTGCAGGCTGGGGTCATGCACAGCGCTAAGCAGGGGCATGGCCAGCAGGTTGAGGGGTGCGTAGAGATTCGGAGCTGCTCAGCCTTGTCACGGGGCTGTGGGCGCAGAGCTGGAGACGATTCCTCTGAAGAGATCCTTTCTGGATGCTGCGTTCATAGAGTTGCCGGTGTGCAGAGGAGGGCACTTGCTTTATCCCTTTGGAATTTCCTCCAATTTGGAAGATTTAAGCAGCTCCATTTTTTTTTTTTTAATCCATCTATTCCTTTTCTCTTGGCAATATTTCACAAAGACCAGAGGCAAGAGGATCAATTCTTCGATTGCAGGAATGGAGATTAGCCCATTATTCTCAGAGAAGAAAACCCCAGAAAGCATCAGGCATTGTGAATTTCCATTAAAATGGTGCATTTCACTGAATATATATATTTTTCATACTTAATCAGAGCCGCATAAAACCTTGAATCAATTAAATTTCCAGCTTTGTTATGTTTAAGCATCTTTCTCATTCATTAAACAGGCAGAAAGGAGCAGAAAAAACCACCTCCTGCAGCAGCAAAGTCCGAGAAAGGTGACGTTTAAGGGTTTTCTTTTCTTCTTCTGTTTCTTTTCAGACGTGGGACAGTTCTAAGCTGTTCAGTGATCAGCTTTATTTAATGATATAAAATAATGTGTAAAAATGCTTCCAAATTTCTAATAGAAAAGTGGTTTTGTTTGAGTGTCTTTCGTCTGTAATTTGACGTGCATGCTAACGTCGCACTTGGGTGGGGAGTCTTACCAATGATCCAGACAATGAAGACCATGTTCCTTCTGAGATACTAGGAAATTCCCTTTAATCACAGTTTTCACTTCAAAATGAAGTAGAACAAAGCGCAGCCATCTCCCCCGTGCTGATGGTCTGCACTAGGAGCAGCGGGTGGGCCCTGGGACCGGGCAGACCAGCCCCATAGAGGCAGGCAGTGAGTGGGGAAGGAGTTGTGTACCCAGATTGCTTATCCTGTGCTTGCCTCCCTCTGTCTGCAAACTCCAGGTGAGCAGCCAAAGTCTGGAGACAGAAGCGGTTACAGCAGTCCCGGCTCCCCCGGGACTCCAGGCAGCCGTTCCCGCACTCCCTCTCTGCCCACCCCACCAGCCAGGGAGCCCAAGAAGGTGGCAGTGGTTCGCACACCACCGAAATCTCCTGCATCTGCCAAGAGCCGCATCCAGCCGTCAGCCGCACCCATGCCTGATCTGAAAAATGTGAAGTCCAAAATTGGCTCAACTGAAAACCTGAAGCACCAGCCCGGAGGTGGCAAGGTAAATGTGGGCTCTGCTCTCCAGGGGCCTGTCTGTAGGGACAGCGGGTGCTTGGTGCTGCGTCTGGGAAGGGAGAGCCCTCCCTGGAGCAGCAGCCGCCCAGCTGGGGCCGCAGATACAGGAGTGGGCAGCCATGCTTCGGCTGATCTCCAGCCTGATTCTGATTTTGGAGTTTTTTGGGCTGGTTGGGTTGGGTGTTTGTCCTGAAATTGCTTGTCTGGCTTAGTGCAATACAGCTGTCCGGCAGAGAGGACTGCAGAGAGCTTGTGATGTGGCTTTCATGGAGCGGCACATCAACGTATGGACTGGCTGCCAGGGGAACAACATTCCCTCACGGTGTCCAGTTAGGGAGAGCAAATTGTGACCCGCAGCCCTAAAAAGTTGCAAGATCAGGGTTGTGTTTCTGAATTCTATACTGTGTGATCTGGAGCAGTCCCTTCAACGCTGCCTCCATTTCTTTGTTAGCGAGCAGACAGGATGGTCTCCTCCCTGTGAGGGTCCCGGGCTCAGCAAGTTTTTCAGAACATTGTGATTTTGGATTGCATTGTGTGATCAGGTGCTGTCTTGCAACATGATGCAGTGTGGCATACCCAGAACGGGTGGCGCTATTATCCTTTCAACCACTGGTACTTTTCAGTCCCAGAGAAGCTGTTTCACGAGCAGCAAAGTGAACTCCGTGTTGGAGGTGCTTGGGAACCAGGGTCTTGCGCTAAATTTTGTTAGCCCAGCAGAGGAGAGTTTGGGTGAGAGAGTGGTATGGGCTAATTCATCAGTGCAGCCCCAAGAGCAGTGGTGTGCGGTTACACGGCTCCAGCTGTGGTGTTGGCTGCTCAGCACCCATCCGAACCTCTCTGCACTGCTCCATTGCACCGTGTGGCCGTGTCCTGAGGCTTTTATAAAATCCTCCTTGCTGCATGGGTGGAGACATGAAAGCGCATGGTTCCTCTGACTGGTGAAGGCTCTGGTGGCTCTTATACAGATGTTAAATGACAGAACTGCACATCTGAGGGCTGGTGCAGTTAGGAGTCCCCGTGTGCTTGTGCTTGCCTGCCCTGGGGGGCCTTGTAGACGTTGCCCTGCGGCTGCTAGTGCAACAGAGCCGTGACAGATATTCCCGCAGTGTGGCACATGCCATTTTGTGCAACTAGGTAACTCTGTGGCTCTGAATGTTCGACTTTGGCATGGGGGAAGGCTTTGAGATGGCTTCTCTTCACCATCTTAAATAGCAGTGTGCTTTTCTGTTTCCTTATGTGCATTTTTCACCATGGCTGGTGATTTGCTGGACAAGGCACATTTTCCTTTGTATTTGTCCTGGTTTGAGGACAGTACTACAGTCCAGGGGGACTCTGGAGCCTGGGCAGGGCTGCTCTGGCCATTGGTCATGAGCAGAGCAGCACGTGTCCTTCCAGCTGCCTGTGTCTTCAGCCCTCCTGCCCACTTAGCACAAGGCATAAGGTTTTCCTGCCGCCCCCACAAAACACTGCTTTTCAGGGATTTTGGAAAGAACCCTTCTGTTAACTGTAAATTGGTTAAATTGTGTGCTTGTTCTTTTTAATCCAGCTTTTACGAGTTGTTTTTTTCTCTGTCCGCTTCTCTGTCAGGCAGCATGTTTATTGTTGTCACTGAAAGAGTAAGAACAGCTGAATTTGGGACAATTCATTGCTCTTTGCAGGGGAGAACGTCTGGATACTCCGTTGGGGATTTTGTAGGACACGAGGCTGCTCTTAGCAGAACGGTTGCAGCTGGGGCAGACGGGGCTGATCCTACGAGTTTGATTTTAGGGTGGCCAGAAGATGGGTGTGGAGCCAGCTCTCCACATAGATTTCAGTCCCCCAGCCTAGGGAAGCAAAAGTACATGGGGCACGCATACCAGGAGTCAGCCAGGCCACATCTCTTCCAGTATTTCTGCATTGTCTGAGCACTTTTGTTGTTGCTGGATCACTGAGTACTGCTCTGGCAAAGCCTGGTCTAGCAGAACTGGGTCCTGATTTGCAGGATTAGTTGATGTGGACTTGGAAAACGATGCTGGAGGTGCGTGTCAGCCTTGGTGCTTCTCATGCTAAAGAACCAGGGCATAGCGAGGAGCTCTCCTTGCAGCAGCAGGCTGGGGACACGCTGAAATGGAGAGTGAGGTTGCCTGCTCAGCCAGCGTCGTGGACGTTGTCGTCCAGGGACTGCATGTGCAGCGTGACGTGGTGCTGCTCTTTTGCAGGATGCTGGGTTTCTTTTCCTCTCATGAGGGTTGTGCTTCAAACGGGCTTTCTCCTGAGGGAGCGCAGCCTGTGCGCCTGCTGGTTTTTACCTGCATTTACCTCTGGTTTATACCTGCATGGGTTGTAAAGCCAATCCAGTCCACAGAGGGGAAGGAGCGGGGACTGTTTTCATCTTTGTCTTGTCTGGAATAGCTGCTCCTCTGTGTCGGGTCACTCCAGCATAGCTGCGCTTTTCCCCAGATAGGGAAAACAAGCCATAAAGGGAAACAGCTTAATTAATTAGTACAAAAATCTCTGTGTGAAGGAAGAGGGCATACAGGCCTTGGGACTGGAGAGTGAAGTTGGTGTGGTATGTGGTTCCCCTCTGGCACCAAACCATTTCCAGCTGCTCTCCCACTCGAGATGGCGGTAGGAATATGCAGTAGAGCTGATGCCTTTGGGGGTGGTCTGTGCTGCCCCTTTCATCTCACCTATACAGGAGAAAACTGCAGGCATGGGACTGCATCCCTGGCAGCATTTGCTTTTTCTCTTTGTAACTGTAGAGGGAGTTTGAGCCCTGCACAGCACAGAGCTCAGGCGTCCTCTCGCAGACTGTGCTGGACACACAACTCCTGCGCTCCAGCCTGCTGCCCTGGCCAGCTGCACCCATTTGCCCAGTTTGCTGGAGCTGCTGAAACGTGAGGCCACATCTGTCTGTCCTAGAGAAGGGAGCATGCTGCCCGGCACAGGAGATGGGGCTGAGCAGGCATTTTTCTCTCAGCTCCATCCTTCCTCCTTCCACTGGCTCTGCAGAAGTGAGTCTCAGAGCACTGGTGCCTTCCAGCATGTTTGCTGCCCAGCAAGTTCCCCGTTTTGTTCAATGAAAGAAAACGGAGTTAGCTGGCTTTTTTTGCTCGTGTTTTTGGCCTGGAAACCAGGGCTGTTTATTAGCCAGACCTATCCAATCTCTAGCTATAACCTGCCCACCTCCATCTTCAGTTTCCAGCCCATGAGTAGACAAATTTGTGTGGCAAGCCAGAGGTTCTCCTTTGCTCTTGGCACTAGAAGGCAGGTTCCTGGTTTTAGTGATATAACGCATGGTCAAGCTGCAGATGGTCATGTTGTTTCTCACGCTCTTTTCTGGCTATCAAAGGTGCAGATTATTAATAAGAAGCTGGACTTTAGCAGCGTTCAATCCAAGTGTGGCTCAAAGGATAATATCAAACACATCCCAGGAGGAGGCAGTGTGAGTACCTTCACACTTTCAATGCACTATAATACTTCTTATTATAAGTGGCATGTTGTATACACTAAACCGCCAATGCTATCTGCAGCGACCCTGCCGTCAGATAGCTATTGGTGACGTGCAATGACTCTTTTCTGGCTACCAAAGGTGCAGATTGTTAATAAGAAGTTGGACTTTAGCAGCGTTCAATCCAGGTGTGGCTCAAAGGATAATATCAAACACATCCCGGGAGGAGGCAGTGTGAGTACCTTCACACTTTGAATGCACTGTAATAATCCTTATTATTAGTGGCATGTTGTATACACTAAATCGCCAATGCTATCTGCAGCGACCCTGCTATCAGATAGCGATTGGTGACGTGCTGTCATTTAACTCCATTAACCCAAAAGACATGGTTAGATCAACCCTAACAAGTACTGTACATGCCTGACATGGACAGAACTAACTGACCCGTGTAGAAACCATGTCTGTAACAAAACATCCCGTTAACCCGAAGGTTTTACACTACTTGGAAGGCTGAATGCCTCATTGTCTGCAGGATGGGTGGCCTCTAGCAGACAGTGACGTAGTTGCTGATGCAGTAGATGGACAGATTTATAAGCAAACGCAGTCCCCGTTGCTTAATGTACTGCTAAATTGCACATGACTCCGTACAACATGTGAAAGCACAGGTTCCTGCCCATTCCCATCAGGCAAGTATGTTCCATGCAGATATTAAGCTTCTCCTTGCTAATGAATGTGTCCAGCAGCGCCCATGGAGGGTGAGCCTAAAGTAATATTGAGTGAATTGGTTTGAATGCCGGCATTTCCAGCCATTCCCAGATAAATAGCCGGACTCAGCTTTCAGTTACTGTGCCAGAAACCTGGAGAAACTCTACAGGGGTTGGTGAATTTACCCCAGTCTCTCTGGAGACAGAGTTTGGGACCAGGAAAGATGATGGACCAAGGAAGGAGCATCACTGAGATCGCAAACAGTGTGACCCAGGGTCTGTGGTTGCTTGGTCTGTGGCCGTCTGAGGAAGCTATCTGGTTCCCCTCAGATGTTGCTGATGGATTTTCTTTGTGCTGTTTTTGATCCCTGTGGACGCCCTCCCTGAGAAACCGAGCATTGCAGGGGGTTTGGCATGTAAGCACTGGGACATAACTGGGTTTGCAACCTCCGTCTTAAATTTGATGTCATTCTGCATTTATTTAACGGGCCAGAGGAGCTGCTTCGCGGAGGTCAGACCTCTGTGAAGCAGGTTCCATGCTTGTTCTGCTCTTTCTGACCCCAGGGTCCTGCACGGGCTGGACTGCCTGGTGCACGGTGGACCACTTGTTACGCCAGGAGTTACTGTTCATCACGAATCATCTGTGCTGTGGCTGGTAATTAGCTGCAGCACAGGGTGGTGAGCTCATCCTTTTCTCCGCTGAGAGCTCACACCATGGGCAAGCGTTTGCAGCTGCAGTGGGTTAAGAATTATCTGGATTTTTGGCTGGAGGTTGTCATCCCTCCCCAGGCTTTGCCAGCAGTGAAAATCGTGTGATTGCTGCCTGGCTGCGTTTACACGGAAAGCAGCAGCTTAGTGCTGGGTGCGGGTCCTTGGAGCAAAGCCATGTACTGACGTGGCCAGAGCGTGGCTGCACCGGCTGTCCTGGCGGCAGAGCTGTCCCTTGGGGCTCCTCCGATAGAGGGGCAACAAGAGACCACCGGGGTTTGATGGCTGTCATGTCTTAGTCCTCCACGACGCTGTCAGCGGTGACTGCCTGCCCAGCCATTGCTGCTTCAAGAGGAGTGAACTGTTGCTGCAGTAACCTGGGGTTGGTACCTTTTTTTTTTTTTTTTTTTTTTTAAAGCCAGTGGATGCTCTGACAAGGTGATGCATTAGGCAAAAGTTGCCCTAAGCGTTGCTGATACTGGAAGGTGGGATCCCCAGGTCTCTGGCACTGGTTTCCCAGGCAAGCAACTCTCTGCCCCTTTTCCTTTCTTGCTAAAATGGGGAAGACCCTTCTGTGCTCCCCAGCAGGATGGTAAGGGTTAATGGAGTCCTGTCTGTTTAAAAAAAAAAAAAAAAAAAAAGGAACTGGAATGAAAACAGAAAGTGTTTCAGTTGCTGATTGCTTGCTCTGGAAATGGGAGGTCTTTCAGTCCCGGGTCCCAGTGGTGCCCGAATTGCTCAGAGGCCCTTCGGGGTCACGGCTGGGATGAGAAAGGCACCAGCTGTCCTTTTGGGGGTCTGTTTTCTGCCTTCTGACTGAATCTAGCTCTCCTTCTGCCCAGTGCATTAAACGTGTGATCTTTCCCCAATGCTGTCTCCATGTCTGTGTCTGTAGTGTGCTCCCAGACCCTAGGTTTGCTTTTCTCCCCTCTCTCTGTCTTCACTCTCTGTCAAATGTGCCTATTGGTATGCGTGAGCGTCAGAGACAAGGCAGACTCCATGCCGGTGGGACGGTGGCACTGAGCCTCTGTTCCCCCCTCCTTTTCCTGGCTGTACGATGGATGGGGGAGCGTTTCTCAGTGGTGTGCACATCTACGGTCCAGCACCTAGCTCTGAGGGTGATGGAGCTGGTGGACGTGGGGCCAACATGAGAATGGAAGGACGCACCTTCACCTCAGGGCTTTTGAGTCAGCGCAGGGTGCTCAGGTGCGATGGAGAGCAGTGGCTACGGTGAATCCTTTGTGCTGACTTTTGGCCATGTTGGTCCGGAGGCTGCTTGGAGGAGTCACCTCCTCTGCAAAGGTCCCTTTGGTGCTGGCACATCCTTCCCTAGAGTTGTGAGAGCAGCACACCCAGTGTGGTATTCGGTGAAAACACCGAGAGCAGGATACGCTCCCCTTGAAATCCAGGCTATTACTGAGAGCAAGGCACTTCCCAGTGAGTAGGAACCAGCCTTGAGGTGTGGATGGTCCGATTTCTCCTGCACAGCCCCACTAAGTACTGCAATGGCCGATTCACACACAGGTGTGAGTCCAAAACCAGGGTCCAAGGTAACTTCTAGGGGTATGGGGATGTTTTCTCACCCCCTTGTCTCCTGCTCCTGATGTAGCTGGCGTGTATGTGCTGTGGTTTGCTGTCCCTGACACACCTGATGGTCCCAGACCTCTCCAGTCATTGGTGTTTTCCAGTGTGGTGTTTAACTGCTGATGTAACCACTAAACAGCTCCACGTTAACCATTCCTTATGTGTGCGTCTCGTGTAAACCGATTGTCCGTGCGCAAGAGGCCACCAGCCCCATGCCCAGGCACGTCGCAGTGCCGTGGCCGGTCTTTGAATGGGGTGGTTTAAGTGGAATTGCTGGAGCCCATGTTCAGAGATGTAATGGGTGAAACAAATGAAAAACAGAGCATAATATCATGAAATGCTGTTCTGGTTCAATATATTATAATTGCCATTTTAATTTATATTATGTGAACTCCTGCCAGATATTTAGACTTTGCTTTGCTTTTTTTTAACCCTTATTTCCGTTACAGCATTTTTCAGAAATGCATATTTTGGTCACTCTTTTAAAAGTTCTGTGCACATTGATCATTTCTGTTCTTTCAGTTTTTGTGGACATAAGCTTTATGTTTTACACCAGAAAAGGTATTTATTTTTTACGTTTTCTCTCTGGTATATCTCCTCCTTTTGGATGATGTGTATGCAAATCTTAATTAATTACCACTCCACTTTCTCTCTCACTTAAGCACTTTAAAATTGCCTCTACTTCCCCCCTCTGTGGAGAGGTGATCTTGTGCATGCTGACATGTTAAGAGAGGCTACTGCACACGGGCATTAATGATCTCCCATTTCTGATGACAGTTTCTTTTGTATTATTAATCTTACTGGGGTTTAAGCTGTCCTTTCCCTTGAATCCAGATCAGGTGCCGGTGTGTGTTGTGCCTCCCCCTCCCCAGGTTGCCCGTGGTGGCAACCAGCTCATTGCCTTTTCCTTTCTCGTACGGACAGGTTCAAATCGTTTACAAGCCAGTCGACCTGAGCCACGTGACATCCAAATGCGGTTCCCTGGGCAACATCCATCACAAACCAGGTACACTTTGACTCTGCAGCATCCGGCAGCGCCGGGTGCTGCTCCCTGGGAGCTCGCAGGCTGCGTTGTGGTGTGCGTCTGGAGATGGGGAGAGGGTTGGGTGTTGCAGGGAGCGAGAGGAGGCACGTGGAGCAGTGACCGGAGCATCAGAGTGAGCCCTGGGGTGCTGCACACTGTTCCCAGTTCCGTCACTGCCAGACCCTCTCCGGTCTGCCTGACCACGCGGTAGTAGGGGAGGGATCTGGTGTGACTCATGGACACCCTTGTCTGTGCCAACACATCACCGTAAATAGGAAGTATTTAGGGATAAATAGGGAGGGACTGCTGGAGTTTAAGGGAGTAAGGTTAGCTCCCTGCCCTTGGTTCTGTGAAACGTTGGGATTGTCTGTCAGCTCTGCACAGCATCCTTTGGAAAGTCTCTTTACCCTGGGTTCCCGTTTGCCCTGGCTCCTGGGTTTCCCACGTCACCGTGGGGTCCCTCTTGCTGCTGTTTTCCTGGTCCTCACCTTCTGCTCAGCCTCAAGAGTGCTTCGGTTGAGCCGCCTCGGAGCGGTAGCTCGGACCTCAGTGCTTTCTCTCCAGCCTGCCCTGGCTGGCACAGGAGCTAACCCAGCTCGTGCTCTTCTCTTCCAGGCGGTGGCCAGGTGGAGGTGAAATCTGAGAAACTGGACTTCAAAGATAAGGTGCAATCGAAAATCGGGTCCTTAGATAACATCAGCCACGTCCCTGGAGGAGGAAATAAAAAGGTAAAGGGGCGCTGGGTCGAGAGCAAGGTATGCTGTTCTGCTGCAAGTGTCTGTCTGCCTTGTGAGCAGGCGTGCAAGCGAAGAGCAGTTGGAGTTTGGACTCGGAGACGGTCCTGCTCACCCAGCTCATCTTCAGACCACGTGGCCTTTCCTCTCTGCTGACCAGGCAGCACTTCTTCCCTAGTGCTTGAAACGCTTATGCTGCCCATGGTCTAGTGTGGGGTGTCCTCCAGAGGACGAGAAGCGCCCTGCCCAGGGACAGGCTGCTCAGGCGCTGCCCCAGCAGCCAGCTTGCCTTCCTGCCGGCGGCTCGCTGCAGGCGGCCGTTGCTGCGGGCTCCTGGGCTGCATTTGCCAACCTGGAGGACATTTGCTGCAGCGCAGCTGCGGCAGAGCTGCAAGGATGAGAGTCTCTGTCCTCTTCCTGGCCCGTGGCCACCTGTATAAGTGTGAATGTCGGTTTCTCTCCTGTGGTTTCCTGCTCTTTCTGCTGTGCTCTGAAATTTGTGCAGAAACATGTTTGTGTCTCAAACCTGTCACATTAAGGAGTGCCACCGTCAGCTTTTGCACTCTGCGTTGCCAGTTACTCCCAGCGGTGTGGCACAAAGCTGGCAGCTGAAGGTGCTGCATAGGTGTTGGTTCCCCAGTGAAAGTGGAGCATGAAAGGCTTAACTTTATTTAGAAAAGGTGGTGACTGCCGTAGGCCGTCACTTCAGAAGAAAGGTGATCTCTTCTTACTTCAAGTCTCGGTCTCTCAGCTGAGACTGACCGAGGACTCTGCGTAGGGAGTGGTGTGCGTTTGGGGTGATATAAATTGAACGACAGTCAGGTCAGGTGAAATGCTGAACTTGGGGTGAGCCGAAGGCTTTGATGGTGACTCCACAGTAAGTCTTAGCTGAGTAAAACACCTCTCCAGCCTCGCGCCAAGGACAGCCAAGTCCCTCGCAGGCAGGGGAGCAGGGAGATCAGGTAAGCCCAGAGTTGAGATTCCAGCCTGGTGACACGTATGGTTGAATTTTCCAGGGAAAAGATGTTTTTATCTTGCTTGTTTTTCAAATACTTTTTTTTTCTCTATGGGAGGGGAAAGTTCTGTTTCGGCTCCTGTATTTTGGCACTTTGTTCTTGGCCACGTTTTCTCTGTGCACCTCCCAGCTCTTTGTCTCCCAGCGGTGCGCTGGCCTCTGACTGAGGGATCGCTTGACTTCCTTACCCTTCTCTCGCTGCTGCTACGCATCAGACTGCCCTGTGCTTCACTAAGTCCATTTTCATCGTTTTTATGATTACAGTGATGATTCTTTCATATCCTGGCACATTCACTGAGCCATAGCTTGAAGAACTTGCCCTTTGGAGGGGGAATTTCTTTGCAAAGGTGTGACCCAGCAGCAGCATCACCTGTCTCAGCCTTCCTGCATGGCAGTTGCCCGTACCACGCCTGGAGGAGGTTGTCGGTGTAACTGGGGTTCAGATGCTGCCTCAGATTGCTCCCTTGTCCAGCCCATTCCCACCCGCGCCTTGGCACCAGGGACCACCCTCAGGCAGTGCTGCTCTGAGGTGGGACGCTCTCTTCACAGGGAGAGGACAGGACACAGCTGAGCCCCACGAACCTTCTGTGTAGAGCGGCTGTGGGTGGCTCTGCTGTCCCATCCCCAGCCTTTCCCACGTCCCTAGTCCCCTCCTTGCTTTGTGGCACAGAAGGTCCGGATTTTGGCACGTAGTCCACAGCTCTTCAGCCTGAATGCTGGTTCACGTGCCGTTCTTTCATTGCATCTCCCGTGGGGAGCCGGGGTGCTCTGTGCTCTGCCAAAGTACCTGTGCCGGCAGCATCTGCTCTCCTTTGCTGCACGTGGAAAGCTTTCCTCCCCATCTCCAAGGTCAGCCCCTGTTCTTCCTATGAATCAGTGAATGGCCCTGTTTTTCAGATCTTTTTCTCCCCAGTTTTCTATTTCTTTTCTTTATTTTTTTTTTCTTTTTCCTTCTGGTTGACATTTATTGGATCTTGTTTTTTGTTGCTGATGCGTTTTTTGCAACCCCACCGCCCTGGGCGGGTTTCTTCACCTGTAGAGAGAGAAAGGCAAGGAAGACAAGACCCGTCCCCAGGCTGCTCGGACCCCGAGCCCAGACCCTGCTGGGCTCCAGTCCCTGGTGCTGGAGCCACCCACCCCCCCGGAGAGCCAGCTCCCAGCCTTGCACTCGGCTGGGGAGGGCACCAGTAAGTAGCAAACCCCATCCACTTCACCTCCCCTCCCTGGCCCTCGCGCTTGCTGGGAGAGAGGGGTTTGGCTCGTGGGAGCAGCGTTTTGTGCCCAGCGGGGCCGTGGGTTAAGGGGCAGCTTTATGCGCCGTATGGGGATCCCACCTCCTCCGTAAATCTCTGCCAGGGGAGTGGGAGCAGCCCGAGTTGTGCCGGCGGAGTCCTGTGCCTGGGACCCACCGCCACGCCGGGTCTGGGCGCTTGGGGAGGATATGGCAGCATCCCGAGGTGCTCCAGTCCTGTCATCCCATCTAGTTGTGCTCGTTCCCTGTGTGGGCTACTGGAAGGGACGTGGGACGTGCCTGAGGACTGGGGGCACTGGGGGCATCAGGCCAATGAACTGAGCTTTCCTCCCAGAGCTGCATGACGGCAGTGACCAAGTGGACAGTTTGCAGGTAAAAACGGCCTCTCCAGATGGCGTCACGCATCCTCCCCGCTCACCGCCCTCTCCTCTCGTTGCAGATTGAGACTCACAAGCTGACTTTCCGTGAGAACGCCAAAGCCAAGACCGACCACGGCGCTGAAATCGTCTACAAGTCCCCCACCATCTCCGGAGATGCCTCCCCGCGCCGCCTTAGCAACGTCTCCTCCACCGGCAGCATCAATATGGTGGACTCCCCCCAGCTCGCCACGCTAGCCGACGAAGTGTCCGCTTCGCTGGCCAAGCAGGGCTTGTGATCGGGGCACGGCAGGCGAAGATGAGAGAAGACGAGGAAAAAAAAAAAGAAAAAAAAAAAGAAAAGAAACAAAAATAATAATCTGGCCTTCTTCCTCTGTTCCTTTTACAGCTGCTTCCCCATCCCCTTACTGGTTAATGATTTAACCTGCTTTTACTGTTCATTCAGCTCTAGCTCCAGGACTTCAAAATCAGTGACACTATGAGGTACAAAACCTCCTCTCCCCCTGCTCCTCGGAGCGCACAGCCCACGCCCGTCCCCCGCTCCCTCCCCTCGTCCCCCCGCGAGGTCCCTCACTGTCCCCAGCCCTGCCTGTGGCCACCCGCCCCGCTGGGGACCCTCACCGCCCCGGGGTCACTGGCAGGGGGGTAGAGGGGACAGCCGCAGCACGAGGCTGACCTGAGCACCCCACACCGCAGCACGGGGCAGCGGGAGGCCCTCACGGGGAGGGCATGCGACCTTCCCATGCTCGTTACCCTAACGATGCCGGGGCCGGAGGTCTGGCCTGCGGGCAGCACAGGTAGTGGGTGCTGCAGCCAGGGACTGCAGGGAGGTGCCCTCCCTTTCTGCGTTAAATTTGCCTGCTGATTTGGAAGAAACCTTTTGTTTTTTACCTCCGAAAGATGAGACGTGTATGAAGATAACTGCCAGGTATCCCCTAAACCCGCTCTCAGCTCCGGCAGCTGGAGTACTGGTGACGCCGGGGTATCCCATGGTGGAAGGGGTCCCGGACGGCCGTTCCCTTCTCCATGGCTGTGCTGGAACCGCTGAGTGGATGAGTAGAGGCTTTTCCCCATTCCTTTGGCAGCCCCTCGTGTCGTAGAGTAGATTTGTCTGTATATGCTTGGACCGTGCCAGGGTGATTGTTTTCATAAACGAGCATGTGTTTAAAAAAAAAAAAAAATAATAATAAAATGCTGTAAGGAGTTTTGAGCTGCCCCGTGCCGGCTCCGCCGCTGCCCAGCGAGGAGGGCCCGAGGGGGAGCTTTGCCGAGCTCCGGGTTGTGCCCGGACCTGGTGCCCGTGGGGCAGCCCGGCACCGCATGTCTGCCGGGCGCAGGGGTGGGCGCAGAGCTGCTGCCCTGCTCCCTGGGGAGGGCTGCGGGGGGCTGCGTCGGGGCTTCCCGGCTCCGCGCACCTCCTGGGACCCGGGGACACTGTTCGAGGGGCGCTCGCAGCTCCAGGGCTGGGATGGTCCCTGGATTTGGGTGCAGCTTGTAACGTTTTTGGGTTGTTCTTTTTTTTTTTTTTCTTTTCTTTTTTTTTTTTTCCCCTGCAAGGTCAGCTAAGAGATCGCGGAAGTGGCAGCTCCATGGCTCTGCTGTTCTCGTGCCGTTGGCAGCGGTAGGAGACAACCGGGAGGACGCGAGGGGAAGGTGCGAGGGCGGTTTTTTAGCTGGTGCGTGGTGGCAGCTCCCCCAGGTCCCCCAGGCTGCTCCCTGGCACTGAACCCCCCAGGGCGCTCTCCTGGGCTGCGTCTGCAGCGTGTTACCCCTCTCTCGGTGTCTCCTTCACCCAACACCACACAGGGGAAAAGAGCTGATGGGTTTTTTTCTTTTTTTTTTTTTTTTTTTTTTTTGTTTTTTTTTTCTGCTTTTGT